ATCATAAAATAAAAAACATATTCAGGATACACAGAAATATAAATGCTCTTAATTTAAATATTATAGCGAATGTAAATAAATCTATAGAGAATGTGTCAAAACAAAACTTGAAACTTGAGTTGAGCCAGCTGCATGACAAAAGCTGAATGCTACGACACTCGATGGAAGGTGCATTAATAAAACTAGTGGAAATATTGACCATAATTTGCTCTTTCAGGAAGAAAACATAGCCCCATGAATGCCTCAGAAACTGTGGGCCAGCCCTTCTAGTGAATGAGATAACAAAACTTGAAAATTGGACTAGGTCAGCTGCATGACAAAAGCTGAGTGCTACAAGACTCGGTGCTACAAGATAAGGTACATCAATACCAAAGACTGAATAATATGAAGCTTGTGGCAAATTTTATCCTCATAGCTCACGAAATAGAATAGAAATAGAAAACATAATCATATGATTCACAGAAATATAAATGTTCTTAATTTAGGTCTTCCAGCGAATTTATAGCAGAAGCTAAATGCGATGATACTGCATGACAGAAGCTGATTGATATGACACTCGTTGTAATACTGTAGTAGTACATCCATGAAACTTGTGGAAATATTGATCAGAATTTGCTCGCTAAATTAAAGGCATAGCCCTATTAATGATTAAGAAACTGTGCTAACTATTCTAGAGAATGTGACAAAACAAAACTTGAAACTTGAGTTAGGGCAGCTGCATGACAAAAGCTGAATGCTACGACACTCGATGGAAGGTGCAGTAATAAAACTAGTGGAAATATTGATCATAATTTGCTCTTTCAGGAAGAACACATAGCCCCATGAATGCCTCAGAATTTGTGGGCCAACCTTTCTAGTGGACATGGACAACAAAACTTGAAACTTGGGTTAGGTCGCTGCATGACAAAAGCTGAATGCTACAAGACTCAATGTAAGGCACATCAATGCCAAAGACTGAAAATATGAATTTATAAAATAGAAAACATATTCATGATACACAGAAATATAAATGCTCTTAGTTTAAATCTTATAGCGAATTTATGGCAGAAGCTAAATGTGTATATATCATCATACTGCATGACAGAAGCTGAATGATATGACACTCGATTTAGTACTGTAGTAGTACATCCATGAAACTTGTGGAAATTATGATCAGAATTTGNCTAGAATTCAATTTCGTATAATGCGTATGTGTGCGTGGTAATGTACGTTGGCTTGATAGCAGTAAGCGAGAGTAGCTACAGAGCAAGCACCAATCAGCACTCAGCACTCTCAGACGATCAAAGGCTCTAGAATTCAATTTCGTATAATGCGTATGTGTGCGTGGTAATGTACGTTGGCTTGATAGCAGTAAGCGAGAGTAGCTACAGAGCAAGCACCAATCAGCACTCAGCTCTCTCAGACGGTCAAAGGCTCTAGAATTCAATTTCGGATAATGCGTATGTGTGCGTGTATATGTGTGTATGTAGAAGTTAACGAGAGCACTTGCTGCAGCGACATCAGACCAACCGCCAATCAGCAGTCAGCCCTCTCAGTCGATCAAGCTACACTCGGAGAGGCTTCAGAGTTAAGTTTTGAGTGAGTCGTTTACCTATTATACTTATAAAGGCAAGTCTGCAGAGCAGCTCAGTCAGTCGTTTGTTTTATCTGGTGTGGCTCGGTTGATCTGCAGTGAAGGATGTTATTTTTCTTTTTTATTATTTGTTAATATACAATTAATTATTAATAATATACATATTAATAATGGTTAAACAATATTCTGTTGATTTTATATCTGTATTATTTAATAATAATATTGGCAATGCTATAAAATAGTTATACGAATAATAATAACAAGGATAATTATAATTTGGATGGAAAGTATGTATTAGTTAAGGCTTGCTAAAAAAAAAAAAAAAAAAACTAAATTACTGACATTGTCTTGGCAATGCATTTTAGGTATAAACTAGTCGGGCACTGCCAAGAGCAGAACACTATTTTTGTTGACTATGTAACTTAAAAAACAGTACACAACACAGCAAATATAAACTCTAGATTTTCCCTTTTATTTTATTTTTAATTTTTTTTGTTTGTTTTTTTTTTTTTTTGTGTGTTTTGTATATCACAGAGGTATTAAAGTAAACCAAAGGAAATATAAAAAATAGTATATATGTATATACAAAGAGTTATGCATAATGCAACACGCAGAGAAACGGCTTTAAATGTGAACTAATAAATTATGAAATTATAATTTCAATTGTGCTCGACACGTGCGCATATCCATATTTATTTAAGCAATTATTTATTTAATTAATGTTCATTAAAAAAGGCATAAAAAATGCTCAAACAACCTCGGCAAGGATTAATATGCATGATAAATGCCTTATGCAGTTTGCTTAACAATGAATTACACAACAGTTACATATTACAAATATTTAAATTAAATTGCGAGAAATCAAAACAAAACTTAAAAGCCAATGAGAGCAAAGCTTTAAAAATACTTGAGCCGAGCGTGTGACAGGGATTTGCAGCTGGGATTATGCGACCCTTTTCCGGCTTGACCCGACTGGACTGAGAAAAAGCAGCTTATGCTGACAACTTTAAATCGGCAGAAGATGCCTTAAACTAAGCCAAAGCCACCTGTAAGACCAACAGGCAGTCGATTCGCCTAACAACAGCACACAACTGTCACCTACTGCTGCACAGCCGGCATGGCTGCGTCAGCCCCAGCACTAAGTATTCAATTCCATAAACACTTGTACACGCAGATCACGCGGCCATCGTAAGCCAGCAGCAAGCGGCTTGGGCGAAACTTCATCAACAGAAATTGTGAATTCCATACAAATAGTTTGACAAACTTGCCCCAAAAACTTGGCTCCAATTGGTTTGTGGTGGATCGGCGAAGGGGCCGGTGGCTGGGAGCCGGGGGTTGGGGCCCAAGCGACGAAGATATGGCAACTTGGGTGCCAAGGCAAAAAGCGCAAATGAAAGAAGTTTTGCGGCAGTGCGAAGCGACGATAGGCAGGAAATGCCACACAGCAGCAGACATAAAAGAAATCTTATAAAGCCACAGCAAAAAGAAACTTATATTTCTATACAGCATCCACACACACACGCACACACACACACACACACACACACACACATCTATGTGTGTATGCATGTAAAACTAGATGGAGATAAAAAAAGTTGTAGTCCAAAGTGAAAGATTTATGCCATTTACAGCGGTTCATACCTTCACAATTTGGCGTAGAGTTTGGAAATGTTTTTTTTTTTTTTTT